CAGAAGGATCCAAAGGCTACACTGTCATTAAAAGATAACAGTCCCTGGACTTTAAGTGAACTAAAAGGTAGAGGTAAAAGATAATTGATGTTAGCATAACCCTGTGTAGGTCTAGACTAAAATATGCTTGAGTGAATTTATTTAGACAGACTTGCTTATAGCCTGCATAGGTCTCGGACTCCTTGTGTAGCTCAGGTTAACCTTGAACTTCCAATCCTACTACAGCTACCACAGATTGTGCCACCATGCCTAGCTTATAAGGGTTTTAAACATTTTTAAATTTGAAAATAGGTGAATTGAATAAAGACATATTGGCCAGGCAGTGGTGGCTCACATCTTTAATCCCAGGCAGAGGAAGGCAGATTTCTATGAGTTTGAGGCCACCATGGTCTACAATTGAGTTCCATCCAGAACATCTAGGCCTACACAGAGAAACCCTGTCTTGAGAACAGAAAAGATATAAAATACTGTATTGGGGCAGGGTAAACTTTTTTGGATTGCAGAAAGTGTATTACTAGGTATTCCTTACTAGCCTTGAACTCACTACAGAGTTTGCTTCAAACTTGCGACAATCCTCCTGCCTCTGCCTCCTGAGTGCTGGGGATACAAGCATGCACACTATACCCAGTTTAATGCATTTGTTTTAATACTAAGTATTCTGAGAGTCAAAACGTTTGAAAAACTGCAGTAAACTAAGTTATTAAAGAAATTCTTTTCATAACTTTAGCCTTGTTTAAGTGCACACCATTTATTCAACAGTCTCCAAAAAGTCACAACACTTACCACTCAGTGATTAATTAGCCCACAAACGCCATCCATGCTTAGGTACTTTGCACCTTTTAGGGTGTATTTTTACTGCAGCTCTTTTTAGGTATGTTGTTAAACAGCTTGTGGTGTTTTGTATGCTGGTGTGATTAACATGTATGATGGCAGTAGACAACATAAGATAATACAGAAGGGAAACTGAGGTTATCAGAGAAGTGGTTGCACTGAACCCCCCTGGGAAAACCCTCACCCTTACTCCAAGTCACCCTTACCTCAGCCACCAGAGCAGACAAACAGCAGTGAACAGAATAAATACACATTTGGGGAGGAAAAAAAAGTTAAGCTTTATTCCACTAAAGAACTTGATACTGTTCCATTAAGAATATTTCAGCCAGGCTGTGGTGATACACACCTGTAATCCCAGAGGGAGTTAGAGGCAGATGGAGCTTTTGAGTTCAAGGCCAGCCTGGTCTACAAATTGAGATCCAGGACAGCCAGAGCTGTTACCACACACACACACACACACACACACACACACACACACACACACTCACACACTCACACACTCACACACTCACACTCACACACTCACACCTCACACACTCACACGCACACACACAAGAGCAGGCTATCGTGGTGCCTTTAATCCCAGCGCTCTGGAGGTAGAGGCTCAAGGATCTCCAAGTTCAAGGCCAGCCCAGCTCAAAAAACAAAACAAGTTTCAATACATCTAGGACTACATAGATCCTGTCTCAAAAAGGAAAAATGAATTGGTGACATCTAATACACTAAAGAGGGTCTGTCAGTATACACTGTATTTATTCTCTACAAGTACCATGATCTGTGTACTGTGTGTACATGTATGCTTAGGAAATTACCTAAAATCATATCTGTTAAGCTGACAGGATTGCACAGTAGGTTAAAGGCTTTATCAAGTCTGAGGACTTTAGTTAAATCCTCTCTCTCCTCTGTCTCTCCCCCCACACACAAATAAATATAGTAATTTAAAAAATTAAAATCAAATATATTAAAAATGTTCTCTACATAATAGGGTTATGGTTTTTTGTTGTTTTTTTACTTTTCTAGAGTGGACACATATTACATGTATGTTTACATCCAGTAAATATAGTTATTAATATAACAGACTCAGAATTCACGTTAGAAGTAACTTTTATTCAGAAGAAATTCTATAAAGTCAAAAGTTAAAGAAAGGCAAAATTTCAACAGCCACATAATTAGTGACAGGCTAGGACCATTTCTTCCTTACATTTGTAGCTGATGCCCACTGTCGGCCAAGATGCTGGTTCAGTGCAACCACACAGCAAACGCTGATGGACCCTTTAATATGTGAGCTTCTTTATATGGAACATTGATCACTAAAACTTCTATTTTGTAACTAGTTAAAAACAGAACAAAAGCAAAATAGAGAGAACTGGCAAAATACTATTCTTCTATTTGGATTTGGATCCTCATAAATAGTGTATACAATAATCCACTTTAGGGTAACATGCATAACAAGTTATATATGTTATATATGTTATAACAAGTGAGATAAATCAGACACAGAAAAATAAATACCACATGTGAAGAGGTAGAGTGCACCAGAGGTAAGGTAGTAGCAAAAAGGAGACACAAAGGTTGGCCAACAGGCACAAAAATACAACTAGGAGTACGTTCTCATGTTCTAGAGCATAGTACAACTGTAATAGGTAGGAAAGAGAACTTTGAGTATTTACAACATAAAGAAATGTTTTTGCCAGGCTATGATGATGCACACTTTTAGTCCCAGCACTCAGGAGGCAGAGGCAGAGGCAGGCAGATCTCTGAATTCAAGACCAGCCTGGTCTACAAGAGCTAGTTCCAGGACAGCCTCCAAGACAGAGAAACCCTGTCTCTTTTAAAAAAAAAAAAAAAAAAAGTTTTCAATGCTGAACTAACGACAATAATTGGAATAGTGTACACTGTTTACATTTAAGTTAATACAACTACAGTTGAGTTTAAATATGTGTCAAATTTTTAAAGTAAACAACACAAACTGTGTAACATAAATTTTCTGTTTAAGATTACCCAAAATTTGCTCAGCAGTGGTGGTACACGCCTTTAATCTCAGAGCTCAAGAGGCAGAGGCAGTCAGATCTCTGAGTTCCAGGCCAGCCTGGTCTACAGAGCAAGTGCCAAGAAAGGCTCCAAAGCTACACAGAGAGGCCCTGTCTCAAAAAGAAAAAAAGAAAAAGACCAGAAAGATTACCCAAAATTTATCTATCCATCATTCCTGTATTTACTAATATTTCTGCAGGACAGCCTATAAACAATGTCAACCAGGCCAGGCAGTAGTGGTGCATGCCTTTAATCCCAGTGCTCAGGAGGCAGAGGTAGGTGGATTTCTGAGTTTGAGACCAGCCTGGTCAACAGTATGAGCTCCAGGACAGTCAAGGCTACAGAGAAACCCTGTCTGGAAGAACCAAAAATAAATAGATAGATAGATAGATAGATGATAGATAGATGATAGATAGATAGATAGATAGAAAGAAAGAAAAATAAAAGGGGGGGGGCCTAAAATTTAATTTTTTCTTAACATAATCTATGAGCTAATTTGTTTTGCTTTGTTTTGTTTTTGCTTGTTGGTTGGTTTTGGTTTGGTTTTTCAAGATAGGATTTTTCTGTATTGCTTTGGAGCCTGTCCTGGAACTATCTCTGTAGACCAGGCTGGTCTTGAACTCACAGAGATCAGCCTGGCCCTGCCTCCCAGTGCTGGGACTAAAGGTGTGTGCCGCCAACGCCTGGCTGCTAATTTGTTTTCTTTAAAAACATATTTCTCCTTTAAAATAACAGTACTGACCCCCCCCCCCAGAGCCTATTGTATCTACTGTGCATGAACAGTCAGTCAGACACCAGTGTGAGTCCTGAAGAATTAAAAACCCACAACGACCTGGCAAATTTTTACAACTGCCCTGGCTTCACTCTGGTTTTGCACCTGCCCTCCATCAAGTGTTCCCACTCCATCCAAGAAATTCCTCAGAGCAAAGCGCCTCACTGAAGATGCCCACTCAAAATCCCTCCCTGGAACTTCCTTCAGCCAACTAGCCAACACAACCATCGCTGGATTCCATCATTAACATTACTGAAAAGGCCCTTGACTCTGTGTCAAGAGCCCCCAAAGATCTCATAAAAATGAGACTGGGCCCTTTTCAGAAATACTGAATAGACACACAAAACTTTGTATATCTTTTCAAGATTCAGAGTTAGAGTTACAATACATCCCTGAACTCCAGAACTTAAAAACATTAGAATATATTTAGTATACTAGTATCATAAATCTTCAAAGCTCAAGATAAATTTGCATTTTATGAGATGCAGAGCAAACAATACACATATACACAAAGACTTTTTACATCCTACAAACTGTAATAATTTATTGAATGGAGCAAGGGGCATAAAGGTATCATGATACGTATGCATCATAGGCCAAGGCCAATTTGTGAGAGCAGCTCTGTCCTTCCTACATATTCCCTATCTTAAGGGCATCATACTCACGGTTAGTGAACTAGACTAATCACCACTAACAGTCCTTAACTCCTTATACTCCGTGGTCACACAACAAATCACATAATCCCCAGCACTGGTTTTACTACAATTCAAAAGCTGAAAACAGCACTAATCCAAAATTCATGCCAATCAAGAAAAACAAAAATAAAAACAGAGTGAGTGCTAGGGATGCTGCTGAGTGCACTCAGTGTTTGACTGGCAAGTACAAGGGCCTGGACTGGGCACCACTAGAACAAAGCTAAAACTGGAACACCTGCTCTGCTGAAACCTCATTATGGCCCCAGGATGCCTTCAGAAATCCCTAGTTTACTTATGAGTGCAGATTGCCAACCTCCCAAACATCTTTAAGGGTAAAATCCACTTGCTATTTCTCATGTCAAACTGCTGTTAGCCTCCCTCTAGGCTACCAGTCCTTCTCAGACTCTACTCAATAAATACAGAGGCTTCCCTAATTTCTGTTTCCCCTGTGTCATGGTCCCTCCCCAAAATGAACTCCTCACTATTCATTCCCACATCATTTCTTTACCCTACTTTTGTCTCTACAAGTTGTGGAAGAGTTGAGCTCACCTTTCCCCTCCTGGATAAGGCCCAAGGTTTGTGACACCTCAAACGGGCCTAAAATACAGACTATCTTTAATGTCTGACAATGGCCAAACTCTTAAGTGAGGACACACTTAAGAAGCTTAATTCTTGATGGAGGGCATGCCTCACTCTTTTAAACATACAACTAGAATTCAGCTCTGCGTTTCCTGCTCCCCACTTCTAGTCCACTGTTTAACCGCTGTGAGCAATGTTTCACAGAGACATTTCTTCACTTCCTCTTGTTCTTTGTAGGTTTGCTGACAGCCTGACATTAACATTCAGGAGCAGCAGCAGCAGCACTCTCTTAAGTTCCAAAAGGCTTACAACTGCCAACAGTAAAATGCAGACACTTTAAAAAATGGTCTTAACATATATGCATACAAAGCTCACTCTTCAAAAACATTCTGGAAAGGGTCCAGGGTAGTTTATCCAAAAGGCACTTCAAAGGATCTCGAGAAAAATATCTACTTAGATTATCAGCCAAATTTTGCACATATGAAACCAGGGAAATCAGCTAGACTGGATTTAAAAAATAATTTAGGCCCAAGCCTGAATTATACACTTCACCTATTACTAAGCAATACAATTCCCACAAGTAGCTGCAATCACCAAACAAATGACCCATACAAATAGCTCCTGAAGCTTCTTTGAAAAATATTACACCACCACCGTCACAGTAACCATTCTAACATGCACGCACACAAATACCCTTACTAGGTATGGCTTCGCTATCAAGAAATGTATATGCCACTGTGGCAACAAGTGGAGTTTTAAGCACACTATTCTGAGCTAGGCAAAGCAGACTATGTAACCTAGGCTTCGGGAAAGCCCCCAGTCAGGGTGATCTTCTGACTGACTATGATGAGCCGACAATACAGACTTTCTTAAAGACCAATCACAAAAGAACTTGTTGTCTTTAATGTATTTGAGTCTTCAAAAAGTTACGTCTTTGGGTTTTCTTCAATTCAAAAGTGAAATGTGAACACATTAGGACAGTTTAGGCATAACGAAGCTTCTGATGTCTCAATAACCAAAGTAAATTGAGGGGAGGCTGACACACATGAACCTAATTCTGAACTGTATAAGAGGGTTATAATCCAAGACCTTGAGCTGTCAAAAGCCATTTTCCAAGTCTTCACCACATCATATTAAAGTAACTTCAAACATTCCTGTGTTGCTCCAAGATTAAAAGTTTCCAACAGCTTAGTGTCGTTGTGGTCTCAAAAGGCCTGTGATTGGTCTGTTTCAATTCCTTTTACTATTTCTCCTCCAGCCTGTTCACCAACGATAGGTTAAGTATTAACCAAGAGCTAGGATGTAGCTCAAAAAGTGCTTGCCTACTATGCAAGAAAGTAAACACCTTTAATTCCAGCATTTGGGAGGTGGTGGCAGGATTAAAAATTCAATGTCAACCTTAACTACTACACAACAAGTTCTAGGCCAGCCAGGATACACAAATTCTTTAAAACAAAAACAGGCTATAGATGGCTCAGCAGCCAGAGGACCATAGCATTCTTGCTGGGTAGGTCACTACCACCTGTAACTCCAGCTCCAGGGATGATGCCCTCTTTTGGACTCCACAGGCACTGTATGCCCATGTATATTCCCATACATAAACACAGATACATTAAACACACAGACACATAACTAAAAATAAAAACAGGGCTTTGAAGAGGTGACTGCTATTCCAGAGGACCCAAGTTTGGCTCCCAGTATTCCCATTCCAGCTCACAACTGCCTACAATTTCAGCTCCAGGGGGTGTGATGTGCTCTTCTGGTGTTCCCCAGCACCAGGCATACAAGCAGCACAGACAATACACAGACCATACATATACATATAAAAAAGTTTAGGACTTGGTCTAAATAGCTTTTTCTGATGCTCTAGAGGTGAAACGCAATACCCTGCTCAAGTTAAGCCTGCGCTCCACCACTAACCCTATACCACCAGGCCCCAAACAATGTATTTCTAAAATAAACGTATAACTGTATAAACCTATGCCTTTTAAACTGCTATTTTACTAAGGAATGATGGAAAATTGTATTTGGTAAGCTTGGGCTGAAAAAAAAACGTTCTTACATCCTAATAAAAACATGAAGTACAAACAACTAACATTCTATAACAGAACATTTCCTTAATGCCTTTCACAAGACCGAAGACTAGAGTTTGTGTCTGTGAGTGTGCTTATGTGCGGTTTTTGAGCATCACACATAGTCCCAGAGTACATTGAGTAAAAGATCTCATTTTCTGAAGATGGAGAGATGGACCATCTCAGCAGCACAGACTCCCCCTCAGCCTCCAACTCTTGAGTTGGAAACACTTGAGCAAGTGTGTTTCAGCATGGTGCATTGCACTTGTCCAAGAATCTGATAGACTAGACGTTGACAGGTTACCTTCCTGGACAGTGTCCTTCTAAAGACTGAGTTTATATCTCCCAACCCAAACAAAAACAAGCAAACAAAAATAAGTCAACATGCTTTTTTATGATTCTTTTTTCTGTCCTGAAACAAAACCCTGAAACTTCAATAATTGCTGTTCCTTATCACTATTATTCCAACAAACATTTACTGAATGTCTTATTCCAAAAAAAAAAAAAAGATATAAAAATGTCAGCTGGGCATAGTGGTGCACGCCTTTGATCTGGGCATTCGGGAGGCAGAGGCAGACAGATCCTTTGAAGACAGCCTGATCAGAGTTGGAGGCTGAGGGGGAGTCTGTGCTGCTGAGATGGCCCATGACATTCAAGACTACGTAGTAAAAAAAAAAAAAAAACAGAAAAAGAAAATCTTAATTCCAAACTACAAGAACCTTAATATTCCCTTAAAAGTCACCTGCTTGTCGTTGTTTCACATAAAATGCTTTGTATAGATAACCCAAGGGTTTGGTTAAACCTACAGTATGCCTGCCATGACAATTCATGTATTTAAATCACCTTCCTAACTAAATCAGCAACAGGTGTGCAATCATGCCTTAATAAAACAAAATAAAAAGCCACCACCTTGGGTTCCACTAAAATATAAATATATATATATATATGAATGAAAATGTCAAGGGAAACCTGAAATCCCTTCTATAACCCTGTAGTTCCCCCAACAGTATCTTTGTGAAAACACCTAGTTTGAGAGCTAGTTTTGGCCAAATGCTAACATGAACCACTCACTACCAAGCAATAAGCCATTTTCCCTTCTGTACGTTAAGTTTGAGATTATAATGAAATCAAGAGGCTTTAAATAAGGTGTGCTAAAAGACTCTTGATCTGGCCAGGCAGTGGTGGCACACGCCTTTAAAACCACTGCTCAGGAGGGAGAGGAAGGTGAACTTCTGTGAGTTCTGGGCCAGCCTGGTCTACAGATCCAATTCCAGGACAGGCTCCAAAGCTACAAAGAAACCATGTCTTGAGGAAAAAAAAAAAAAAAAAAGACCCTTACTCTGATTATTGTTTTATTTTTGTTTGGGTCAGATATTCAATGGAAAGCAACAGCCTAACTTCTATCAGGAAAAAGAGAGACTGCCCACAGTGTAGGTCAGCAGCAAAAAAAAAAAATTTTTTTTTTTTTTTGCATGTCCAATGGCCTGGGTTAGATTCCCCAGTGCAGCCCAAAAAATAAAGATGAAGAAAGGAAGATTCCCCCAAATCTGTACACAATTCAGCACCCAAATTAAAAGTAAATTCACATAACTATATACTTCCTTTTGTGCTCATAACCATATTTTTACAACCTTAGGGTGACTTGTCAAGAACTTTCAAATAATGTTAGGGGTCAGAACACAACTGGAAAACAAAACAAAACCAACACACCTATAAAAGAGTATCTCCAAAGTTGTGCTCTTCTCTTTCCTTGAGTGAGGAACAATCCAATAAGTTGCTGTTCAAGGCCAAAGGAAAAAGAATTTAAAAGGAAGGGCTTAAGACTGGGAAAGGACCACTCCCACCCCAGAAAGACAAAAGCTGTACCCATTCTCCTACAGAGCTCTTGTCCCAACTGACAGGTTCACTCCCACTAAGTTCCACCCCAAAAACACCATTTAAACGTGCAGCAAAACGTGAACTTTGCTGTGCCTACTGAAAGAACTCGGCCCAACCGGTATCAACTCTAACATAAACAATTCGTACACGATATTTTAATGGCTGGGAAGATGGGATGAACTGTTAACAGCTCCTCCAACTGGTCAGAGCAGATAGCCTTTGAAGCCCTAACAACATTAAGATTATTTTAACAATTTCAAGTTCTGCTGGGCAGTTAGGTGCACCGTTCCAAGTTTGGGACCAGCAGCAATGACACAACAGGTGACAAACGCAGTGGACATCACTACAAAACATGCAATGGCAAGCCCTTGAGTCCACGAGTGCCTGGGAGGTGGGAGAGTATCAAGCAGACGACCACCCCGGGCCCCGTTTGAACCGAGGCAGAGGTTCCGTTCTGGTTAAGGGGTGCGCCACCTCCCCCCTCCCGTGCCCCGGGGACCACCACGCCAGGCCCGGTCAGAGCCCAGGCCCCTCGGTGGGCATGTAGAGGAAAACACAATGTCGCTCCTTATTTTGTGTACAAAAGGACTTTGCGCCCTCCTCCTCGAACTGCCGCCCAGGCGCCTCATCACAACTTGCAAGAAGGTGGGCAGCGCGCCATATTCAGCGCCCCCCAGTCCACCTGGGTAACCAGCCCACGCCACCCCGGCGGGAGGAAAGCTTCGGAGGTCGCCCGACCGAGCCACCAGCCTCCTCTCCCGCCAGAGACAGCCACTCCCGCGCCCCGCCCGGCCGCGCCGCGCCGCCGGCGGCCGAGACCCGGGAAGAGCCCAGGGGGCGAGCGCCGAGCCGCCGCTCCGCTCCGGTCCCGCGCAGCCCACCCACCTCCCGCTCCCGGGCCCGGCGCGCTCTCCCGGGCCGCCCGCTCCCGAGCCCGTGGGGGAAGGCCAGGCCCGGGGTTCCACGGCGCGGAGAAGGCCGCGGCCCGGAGAACCCGAGGCGGCAGAGGAGGCCGGAACCCCGGGGCTCTCAGGAGGGCAGCCGCCTCCCTCTCGAGCCCGCCAGGACGCCCGGGGCCTAGTGCGGCCTGCGCATCCTCGGGGTGGCGGTTTGGCTGGGCCGGGCCCGGGCCCCCCGCCCCAGGCAGGCCGAATCCGGCGGGGGCCCAGGCCCCGAGCCGGGGGCGGCAGGGTGCCGGCTGCGGGGCGGGCCGGCCGGCCGGCGGGCGGGCGGCGTGTTGCGGCTGCGCCGGGGCTGAAATAGCTGGAGATTGCGCGGTAGGGCACTCACCTCAGAGCGGCTGCGCTACCGTGGGCCTGCGCCGTGGAGACTGCGACCGCGCCGGCTCCTCGCAGCCTCCTGCCACCAGCGGCAATGGCGAGCGCTGCCGCCTCTGCCGCCGCCGCCGCCGCCGAGGAGGGGGAGGGGAGGGAGGAGGCACGCACGCGACGCACGGCTCAGCTTCCCCGCCCGGAGGCCGCCATGATGGCGAAGCCGGCGCGGCGCGGCGCGGCGCGGCGCGGCTCGGGCGGCCCCGGGGAGGGGGCTTTCGGCGGCGCCGCCGCAGCCGCAGCCCCCGGCCGCCTCGCCGGCCTCTCGTGCCGCCGTGCGGCGCAAGCTGGGGCCGGGAGCAGGAGGAGGGCAGCTGCTTGATTGAGCAAAAGCGTGGTGGACGCGGCGGCCAGGTGGCTCATGCGGCCCAAAATGGTTGCTAATCCGAAAGGGACCAAACGCGGGGCTCGGTCCCCGGCGCGGGGGGAGCTGGCACCTCCGCGGCAGACGGGCTCCCCCACACATTTTCCTCTGCGCGGCCGGGCTCGCAGCCCCGACCCCACTCTGCAGTGAGATTTGCTTCTCGAAGCCCCTAACCAGCCCGTTGAGGAGAAAGTTCAGTACAAAGCCGTCTGGTAGTTTTACTCTCTCGTTGTTAGCTGGACATTTCTAAGGAGCCCCTTCGGTACTGGGTGCCCTTGTGGGTGCTCCGAAGTGCACCTGTTAGCAAGCCAAAGCCCTATTTAATTAAAATTAAAAAAAAAAAAATTAAGCCCTTGCCCTTGCTTTCTTGGAGCTTCCATGAAGCAATAGGGACTCCTAGTTGCATGCCTAACAAATGAGGAGTAGACAAGAATTGGTTGCAGACATGAATAGTAGTTTGGGTTGGTTTTGTCATCAGTAAGTCACCGACAGAATTACTGATTCCGAGCTCCGACTGAAACCTAGAATTGTAGCGAGCTACCCTGAGAACCTGCATTGTTAACACTTCCTGGAAAATTTTATGCACCCCGGATAATTATAAAATGCCCCAAAGGACGTCAGATTAACAAATGAGGAAGCATTAATTATTACTAACATATTTCTTCAAAAAAATGGAATCCAAAGCTGGGCGGTGGTGGCGCATGCCTTTAGTCCCAGCACTTGGGAAGCAGAAGCAGGTGGGATGTCTGAGTTCAAGGCCAGCCTGGTTTATAGAGCGAGTCCAGGGCAGCAAGGGTTACACAGAGAAACCCTATATTAAAAAATATATATATATATTGTAATGCCTTTTTTCCTTTTTTTTTTTTTTATACGTTGTCTACGATACCACCCATTGCTGTAGGAATAATACCTACTCCTTCCTCTTTGCCTCAACTTTGCATACACAGTGATTTTTTTCCCCCTCGAGACAGGGTCTCAACTATGTAGCCCTGGAGGGCCTGGAAACTCCATATAAAGATTAGGGTAACCGTAGCTCAGAGATTTTGCCTGTCCTTGCCATCCACGTGCTGGAATTATGGAATTAAAGACGTGTGTCCCCATGCCTGGCCACCCAGTGAAACTTTTCAAGCTGTTGTTGCCTGTCACTTGTTACTTAGGTTCAGGCTGCTTTCTTATGGAGATACACTTGGACACCCATGGTCTTCCTGCCACTGTGATACTCTAGTTCATTCTGCACACTCCAACCTGGGCAACCTTTTTTTTTTTTTTTCCCTTTAAAGCAAATCATGTCAATTCCCAGCTTGGGATGTTTAATTAGATCCCATTACTTCCAAGCTAATGTCTGAAATTCTAGAAGGTGTCTTTGAGGACTTGGATGACCTCACCGGTGGTGCCATGTCTGACCTCATCTCCTCATCTCTTCTCAGGCTGTAGAAGAACTGGGAAGCCTTGGGTCACGTATATACATCTAGGAATTCTGACATTTTACAACTTTTTTAGAAATACTCCTTTTGCTCCAAACTTTTTTCCACTTCTGTCTTCTCCGTCTGCTAGAAAAATGCATCAAAATAACTAGTTACTCATTTAGTCTCAATATTTCTTCCATCCCTTTTCCCCCAAGACTGGGTGCTTTGCCCTCCCCTCATTACACCCAGGACTTCCCACCTACATTATCTGCCTTCTCTCTTTATACTGAGTCTCAAGTAGCCCAAGCTAGCCTCTATTACTATGTAGCCCAAGATGACCTTCAACCCCTAAGTCTTCTGTCCCAACCAAGTGCTGGGATTACAGGCCTGTGCTGCCAGGCATGGCTAATGTGGGGTCGAACCCAGAACTTCATGCATCTAAGGCAAGCAAGCACTCTTTAACAACTGAGCAACATGCCCATCCCATACATCATTCTCCACTTCATTCTCGGATGCAGCCCATTAGGTAAGTACTGCTGTATTTCCATTTGACAGACGGAGAAACTACAACATGTAGAGGTTATTTGCCCAAAATCACATGGTAAGAGAGAGAACTAGTCCTGAGCCTGACCTCAGAGCTGCACTCTTAACCATCACCAGGGCTGTTAGCTGACAACTAACTCCCAGTCACAAAGCACAAGAGCCCAACATACATTCCGTAAAAGAACAAGATAATAACTTAGGCTTTTGTGAAACTTTTTTCTGTGAAACAGATTTTTTCTGCTATAAACTTTCTAATATTACAATTATTAAAATACAAATTACACAATATTTATTACCAAGCCTTATATGATGGGAAGAATGTTATATATGGGTTTGACTTTCCCATCATCCTTTATTTATTTACTTATTTTTAAAAGGTTATTTATTTATTTTTTAAAATTTTTTTAAATTTCTTTATTTATTTTGGGTTTTTCAAGACAGCTTCTCTGTATTGCTTTGGAGCCTAGCTTTGAGACTAGACTGGCCTCAAACTCACGAGATCCACCTGCCTCTGCCTCTCCAGGGATTAAAGGTGGGCACCACCACAGCCTGGCTCTCATCATCCTTATGTTAATTATGTGCAGCCTTAAAATTTAATCACACTCAGCATCCCAAACAAATTGAAATTACTGCCCTCAAGCCAACCTGGCTGACCTTTGCAAGAAAATAGGGATTCATGCCTTGACAGGCCAATGCTGCCTCTTGGCCAGATATTTTTGACAAAAATATCAGATATTTTTTTCTGTCACCACAGTGAACACACTGAGTCCCTTGTGTGCAAATCCTATGTCAACAGATTCTCAGACCTGCCCTACACATTCAGTTCTGGTTGCTTTTGCTGTCTTCCTGAGTTTATTGATTGTGTTATCAATTCTGGAAGCCTCCACCCAGATACCTTACCCTGCTGATTAGATCTGACCTCAGTGACGACTAAGTTTGGCATTCTTTTCTGTTCTTACTATGGAAGGAGAGAGCCTACTCCCAGAAGTTGTCTACTGACCTCCAAGTGCTATGTGCTATTAACACCTTCACACAAACACAGTCATTTCTTTTAAGGTAGATGATCTTAATGGCCTCTTTGAGAGCGAGATGCTTAACTTAGTGTAATAGGCAACTTTGTCATGGTTGAGCATGGGCTAAGACATTAACAGCACAGCTTCATTGAGGATCAAACATGAGTTCAGCCACTGAGAAAAGTGTGATGATGATGATTTGGGTTGGGGATGGAGGTTTTGAGATGAGATCTTACTATCTGGCCCTGGCTGTCCTGGAACTCACTATGTAGACCATGCTGGCCTCAAACTCAGAGATCCATCTGCCTCTGCCTCCTGAGACCCCATCTCAAAACTTCCATCCCCAACACCTCCATATGCACACAAAGCATCAGTGCACATAAAACAAAAATAAATCACTTTTTAAAACGAGATAGAAAACTGCTATTCAGAGGGCAACAGTTGGGAGAGGGTTTTTCAGTTTGTCATTTGAATATTTGAACCCTAAAAAAAATCCTGAAAGTTACTGAAACAAAATCAGCACCTAATCCCAGTGATAGTCATCACTGGGCCACATATTGGACTGCTCGGGAGATGTCAGCTGTCATGCATCCTGGAACTTAGAGACACTCTAGAAGGCCCTAGGCCAGAACTGTTCCTGAAATGTGGAAGCAAAAGCCAGACTTCAAAGGAATCTGGGAATGGAGGACAGCGGAGACAACTACAGCAGGCTGTAGGGAGCACAGGAAGCCCTGAGTGGATATGACATGGGCATGGTCTGTTGAGGACTCCAAGCCCAGCAGACCTATGGGAAACTGGTAAAGCCCATATAAGGCAGGCTCAAGAAGAGAAGCAAAGATTTCCTCAGGAGTGCGAGTATACGTGCTCATGCACTACTCATCAGGTATGCAAAGAGCTTCCTTGTGCCGCATGTTTACAGCAGGAGACTGCCCCCTACAGAGACCTCCTACAGAGACTAGCTCCTCCCTTCCCCAGAGCTGTCCAGAACCTACCTGACCTGACAGCATAACTGTGTTGGTTGTCTGTGTGTCTGTCTGCCTTCTCTTGCTGTCCCTGGCTAGCATTCCAGGACTCACCATGAGGATGAAGGCAGAAGGTGGTTTCTTTAGGAATGGTAGAGTAAATTAATAATGGCGTTGTGATGGAGAAAGCTTATGGTCATAGTAGACCACGCCATACTTAAATCTGTAGGCTTCTGGGAAAGAGCCAGCAGAAAGAAAAGTTGGGGAGAGTAGGAGGAGAAAAGCTGAGGGGAAGAGGAAGGGACGGAACGGGAGTGTTGATTGATCCTTATTGGCCTGGGTGGGGGGGAGAGGGGTGGAGAGACAGGGCAGTAGCCCAGATTTCTCAGGAGTCACAGTGAAGGTCAGAGCAGGCTTTGCATAGGAAAAGCATCCAGGAAGGAAAGAGAGCGAACTACCTGGATCACCCATGCTGGGAGCCCAGCTGAGATTAGAACCACTTTCCACACAGCCCTCAAACACCTGTGTAGCCAGTACAGCTTTGGTTTGGGTGGTACTGGGCACTGAACCCAGGGCATCACTCATGCTAGCTCTAAGGTGAGCTACATTCGCAACCTTTCAGTAAGTAGTTTTTATTTTT